TCAGTAGTACAATCCCCAGAACAACAAGAACAACAAACCATTTGTGTTGAACCTATGCCTGAAGCTCGGGTTTAAAGGTTACAAACCTAAGTGCTCACAAGGACATTCACCGAGAAAAGTTGGCCAAGTGGAAACCCTGGTGTAGGGGAGCATCTGACTCACTCAGTGGCACTTGGTATCACTGTGGTGCCAGCAGCCCACACATACTGGAATTGCCAGATCTAATGGTTTTTAAAGGGAGGCTGGATATCTAGATTTTTACTGTGAAACTTACCAAGTTTTTCAGACTTACTGTTGAACTTGTAGAAAAGCTACAAAAATAGTGTAAAGAACTACCTTCTACCCTCTGTCTACAAACCCCATTTAAATTCTTCCAGTGTTCTGAATAATGTTCTTTATACCCAAAGGACCCCGTCAAGGAGCTCATGGTAGGGTTAGTTGCCAGTCCCTTTAGTCTCCTTCAGCCTGGAGCGGTTCCTCAGCCCTTTGGTTACTTTCACAACCTCAGCACTTTTAAAGATTACAGGCCAGTCATTTTTTAGATTTCACCCTCAATTTGGGCTTTCTGTATTTTCTCACGATTAAATCTAGGTTTATTTGGGGCCAGAATACCACAGAAATGATAGTAGTTCTCACTGCATTGTATCTGGTGGCCCGTGGGAACTACTTAGTGGCATAGGAGCCCTTGATTAAGGTGATTTCTGTAAGACATCTCTGTAAAGTCATTTTGTCTTTCCTTTTGTATTTTACGAGAAGATACATGCATTCATTAAAATATTCTTAAAATATTATTTTTTATCCCATTTTCACCCAATAACTTTAATATGTGTGGATTTTTTTGCCTGAATTAATTATTGCGAATAATGTTTGGCAAATGAAGATTTTCTCATTCTACCATTTCTTTTATTTATTTGTTTGTTTTTGCCATTTTACTTCAAGGAAGATTCTCATTTTTTCATTTATTGTACTACTAAAGACTCAAGGATCTCTATTTTATTTAATGGGTTCTTTGTTATGATTTATTTTGATGCTCCAGTTGTTCCAGAGTTAGCCAAAAGGAGGCTGTTATACTGGCTTTGGGAGCGGGGTGTGAGACAGAGTCTCACTATGTATTCAGGCTAGCTTTGAACCTTGAACTCACTATTGTAACCCAGGTTGGTCTCAAACGTGTGGCAATCCTCCTGCCTCGGCCTCCTGAGTGCAGGGATTATAGGTGTGTGCCACTATGCCTGGCTTTTGTGTCTTTCTGACATATCCCCATCATTTTTTGAGCACAAGGTATTTCAGGCTCATCTTATTCTTTTCTCTTACCTGGCTCTGCAGTCATATATCCAGGGAGCACTGGTTGCTTTGTCATGAAAAGTAGTATTTAGTAAGCAAGGTTTGGATGTTGGGTAGCTCGTTGCTCTGGGTAACCTAGGAAACATATGCATACATTGACATTTACATCTGTGTTTATTTCTATGCTTGTCTCTAGTTGAAAAGTAGTCCACATTAGTACTTCCAGTTCTAGTTCAAAACTACATTCTAGCGTTTTTCCTTTCCATATGTTAAACTCTCTGCTGCAATAGTGAGAAATCTGTCTTCCATTATCTTCAGTTTATTTATTTATTCATTCATTCATTCATTCATTCAGTTCCCTTGAGTAGCCAATCTCCTGACTTGCTGGGCCACCACCCTGCTCAGATGCACCCCCTTGTGTGGACTTAGATCCCTGCTTAGGCAACCTGTAGCAATGCCTCAGGGCTCCCTTCGTCTTCCTCAGCTTCATGGGGCTGGGCTGCCACTGGGCTGCAAGAAGAAATGTTGGTCAAGTAATTCAAATTTTAAAAAGCAAAAAAAAAGGAACACAACAACAAAAAATGTTTGTTATAGGTTAATTAGATAACAAGAACTTGACTAGTAGACCAGATCTGAGACTAGTGTGAGCCCTAGCAGTAGAGAGAATGGTGATCAGAGAATAAATATCAGCTGTTTAATAAGGGTTCTCATGGGTGCTGAATGATTTACCTGGGTTAGGAAGAAAAATGAGCACATATTCCTCCCTTTCTCTTCTGTGGTCTTTTGCATAGTCCATTGGGCTAAGTAAAGTAGAGTGCAGTCCTTTTGCCCCAGGAGAACTTTTCCATTAATTTAAAGTGTTTTTTATTCCTCCCTATTTCTTACTGCTTACTGCTTCTTAGGCTCTGCAGAAGCCCACTTTTTGTCCTTAGTAACCTCATCCTTGCTTAAGGTCAGAGTATAATAACCCAGTGAAGGGATGATGAAGTAGAGTGACTTTGTACAAGTGTTTTGCCCTTGAGAAAAGGAACGTAGGAATGATAAATGTGTTGGATATCAAATCTGCCCAACCATAGGGGCTTGGCAGGCTTTTTATGTTGACCAGCTTACATCAGGTGCTCACAGCAGAGATGAGAAGCCTCTTTTCCTGAAGCTGACCTTCCCCTGTCTCTTCCCATCATCATCCTTTCAGGGGCGAGGACGGCAGGAGGTGTGTCACTGTGAGGTAGGATCTGGCCGAGGGGGCCAGCCTTATGTCTCCCAGGAACTCAGAGTGACTGTCTTCCATTTGCTTAGAGAATCACTGTGGGAAGAAGATTGGGATATAAAGGCAAAGCTTAGCCAATGAGTGACATGACCAAGAGTTCAGTGATGATTCCTGGAAATCTGTCGAAAATCTGAGGTCCTTCTCAAGCTCAGACACAATGCTTGTCAGACTTTTGTCCCTCAGCCTTAGTATGCTCAGCAAGATTTTCCTTTTGTCCACACCCTTTTCCTGGCCTCCTGTTTGTTTTAGTGTTTTGGGTTTAGCTCTTTTTCTTTTTTTCCATTACTATTCTTGTGGCTCTTGTGTACTTCTGGTAGAGGGAATTAGGGAGTGGAGATAGTGGGTGGCTGAGAAAAAGTGGAGAAGAGGAAAATTTTTAAATGCTGACCTTTAATGTGGTGAGAATTCATGCTGACTTCATAGTCTGGATAAGCATATGTAAATAATTTGTAAATCATGTGAAAATAAAACTGTGGCCTTCCAGGTTTTTTTCACACACTTGGATCTACAGCTTGGGAAAACCACGTTAGGGAAGGGTGATATGTAAACAGGGCTTGATATTTACCACACCTGATTGCTTTGAGTGGCCTTTTGTTTATATCGAACATCACTGGAAAGTTTCTCTTTCCCTGCTTACTTCCCTCAGAGGCACATATATTTTATGCTTCAGTCTTCTTTAGACAAAAGTCCGGGATATCAGATTGCTGTCCTGTTTTCACTGGGCTCCATGTTTAATCCCTCTGTTTTTTTGCCTTCATTCCAAATTCGGGAATTAGTCTCTTGTGCTATGCCCATAATTTATGCTGCTCTGCTCTGTCTGCTGTTAATGTGGCCATTCTTGTTCTTTGTCAGATATTATGGATTAGTTCTATTCTTTCTGCGGATATGAGTTCTAAGTCTGTACTGTCATACTGTTCTTTGGTTTTTCTAAATTTTCACCGTAGAATGTTGTAGTACCAGGCTCTCTGTGACACTCAGTGTTTTTTTTTTTTTCCAGGTATCTTTCATATATAATGAGCTTATACAGATTTATCAGACCTTAGTAGATAGAGAAAAGGACATTGACCATCCACAAAAGAGGAAATACAACCACTGAAAGTGAAGAGATACTCAGCTGAGCTAGAAATCCAGGAATGCGAACTAAAACATAATGCCTTGGTTATCAAACAAGCAAACATCTCACCTAATGATAATACCCAGTACTGGCAAGCTGGGCACACTTCCCCTTGCTGGTGGCCATGTAAATGGGCATTTTAGGAAACCATTTTGTCACTAGATAATGAAAACCTGAAAGGTCTTTGTGTTCTTTAATAATGCCCCCTCTGGGAATATATCCCAAGGAAATAATTGGGAAAAAACCTTACTCAGAAATTTCATCAATTAGGAACAGTGAAAACAGCAACAGCTCCACATTCAGTGTTTCTTGACCAGCTAATGCCCAGTTATCCCTAATGTCTGACACAGTTTCCCAGGTTGTGAGTAACCATACTTGCAATTTTTCATCCTACCTATTGATGTTGAGTTCTGTGTCAGAGAAGCAGCATCTCATAGTGGTTAAGATCAGGGGTTTTAGAGTCTGCATGATCTGGTGGTGCAAGGTACGTAGTCTTTCTGGGTCACATTGAGTTTGTGTATCTATTTTAAAAATTAGCTATAGGCTGGCATGGTAGCAGATGCCTATAATCTCAGCTTTTGAGAGGCTGAGGCAGGAGGATCGCTGTGAGTTTGAGACCAGCCTGGGCTACAAAGTGAACTCAAGCCTAGCCTGAACTGCAGAGGAAGACCCTGTCTCAAAACAAAAAAAATAAACAATAAAAAAAAAAAAGCCAGGCATTGTGGTGCATGCCTGTAATCCCAGCACTCGGAAGGCTAAGGCAGAAGGATCACTGTGAGTTCGAGACCAGCCTGGGCTACAAAGTGAGCTCAAAGCCAGCTTGACCTGCATAGCAAGACTCTGTCTCAAAAAGACAAAAAGACAGAAAAATAAAAATATTAGATATAATGTGACATACTTCATAGGGTTTCTCTAAGGACTGAATTTATATGTGGTGTTATATACAAAACACAGCATATAGGCTTTTTCACACTTAATATGCATTCAGTATCAAGTAATGATGTCACTCTTCATTATTATGATTATTATTACTGACAGTATTATTTCACTGATCCTTAATTCTAAGTTCTGTTTTCTTTCTTGATCGTTTTTTTTTTTTTTTTCTTTTTTTTGGTTTTTTAAGACAGGGTCTGACTATGTAGTTCAGACTGGCCTTGAACTCACTATGTAGCTGAGGCTGGCCTCAAACTTATGGAGATCCTCCTTCCTCAGCCTCTTGAGTGCTGGGATTACAGGCCTGCACCACCACACCCAGCTAGTTTCTGTTTTCTTGAAACTCTGATCTTGGCAGAGTCTTTCTATCAGGTTTGCAACTCTGTCTTTCTGTCTTTCTATCAGGTTTGCAACTGTGCGATATGATCAAGGAGCCAAGAATATTCGGAACCAGTTCATGCACCTGACAAACTACAGCGTGAATAAGAAGAGTGGAGACTATGTCAGGTACTGGCTGTGTCTGAGCTCAGTCAGAGAAATCAGACTTGGGTCGTAGACGTGGAAAGTTAACACATTTCACTGGAGCATAACATTGGGTTTCTGACCCTGGAACACTTGTGGCAGGGTCATGTAATGCAGTTTTAAGACATACTCGTTGCTGCTTCTCCATAGCACTTCCTTTCTGCACCAAAATATGCCTTCATCATTTTATCTTCCTCATTGTCTTCCCTCACTTCATTAGAAAGTGGGAATTTAATAGACATAAGGAGCTTTTTTGTTTTGGTTTAGTTTTTGGAGACAAGGTCTCACTATATAGCCCAAGCTGGTCTTGAACTCATAGCAGTCCTCCTGCCTCAGCCTTCCAAGTGCTGGGATTACAGGCATGCACCACCATGCCTGGAGGAATTTTTTAGAAGTCAAGAAATGAGGTTACTTCTGCACTTGGAAAACATATCAAAAGCTTAAAATATATGTACTCCTTGACACAGAAGTTCCATTTCTAGGAACTTAATATTAAGAAATAAAGGATGTATGTACAGGCTCAAAGGCAAGAATGTTTTCTACTGTATTGTTAGAGGTGGTAAAAGTACGTTATGAGACAGTATATGCAACTGAATTTCCTCATTGAATAGAGGTCTAAAGCTATTTTTGTTGAGGAAGGAGAAAAAAGGGAGAAGGATATACACTGAAATATTAACTGTGCTTAACTAGAAAGGGTGGGATTGTGGGTAGGTGATTTTTGTTTTATGTGCGTCTATATATTTTCTAGATTTTGTTTGATCTAGAAAAAAATTAAAGAGAAAAATAAAACCATCTCAGGAAAGAATTCAGTGAAAGGGAGTACCAACCCAGCTGTGTGGAAATATTCCCTTTGCTCTGTTTTCTTTCATCCTGATAATTTTGCCAGAAAGTGGAAAAATAGGAAAGAAACCCAAGCAGTCACTTTCTACTCAGACTAAAAATAGGTGCCTAGCATGTCCAAAGAGAGAAAGAAGGGAAGGTGTGTAGGAGGGCTGGGTAGCTGCTGAAGCTACGTAGGTTTCATTGAGTGGCCCGTGACTGCTGTTATATGTTGGCTAAAGATGTCTCGTCCTTCAATGGGGAAGGGGAGTGGAGATATGGCTGGTATAGAGGGTGGAATGATGCCAGGGATCAAGAGGGCAGCTGCAAAAGCAAGGTTGCAGACTGCAGGACTTGTTAGCATTCATGGGCATCTGCCCCACTTACTGTTACAGCAGCAGAACACTTCCTCCCTGACTTCACTCTAGAGCGTGCTGCCTTCCTTGATGACTCTTGGCTATCACCAGGCAGCATGTGTCTCAGCCAGGGCAGCTCTGTGTGCGGTTAGTGAATTACAGTGCTGCATTAGATTAGCTCACCAGCTCATCCCTGGTCAGCTGTGGTCTAAAAATGGCACCCAAGTTTTTCTAGACTTGTGACATTTACCTCAAGGGCAAGGTGTATGTCCCCAGTGTTACTCATTTATTGCAGTCATTTTTAAATTTGTATACATTTTTACAATCATTTTTAAATGGTTGTATACATTTCTTTTCATGTTTCCTTCACTCTTTTATAATTGGGTAAGGGAGAATTTACCTTCTTCTCCCCTAACATCTTCAGTAGGGTAACGGGCATTTTAATTTTCATTTAAGAAATTAGGGCTGGGGATATAGCAGTGGCACAGTGCCTGCCTGACAAGCACAAGGTCATAAGTTTGATTCCCGGTACCAAAACAAAAAAGAAATTGGTACTTGGTACAGAGGTATACATAACAGAAGAAGAAAAAAATGGCTGAGTACAAGTTAGCAAAACGAACAGTTTTCTGAAAACTTAAAGACGATTGTTATAAAGAACTTTGTTTATGCAGCCCAGCCTACTGACATATATGACCTTGATTCATTAATTACTCTTAGTTGTGATGATCCAGAAGTGGAGGATTATGGGAACAAATGGAGCATGAGCGCTATGCTCAGGTACCTGAAACAAGAAGGCAGAGATACAACTGGTGAGTTTCAGCCCCTTTCCTTCTTGATTCCTCTTCGTACCACTTTACCATCGTCTCTTGCCACGAGTCATTTTTGTACCTCTGATAGTGTTGCTGAGTCACCCAGTGGGGTGATTTGCTCTTGGGGTCACTTTTTCCTGGAGTTTACAAAGTGGGGAAGGGGCTTTCCATGAATCTCCAAACCCCTTTTCTTGTTTCTAGTTTAGAAGTCATAACTTTTTGCTTTAATCCATAGTGAACTTATTTGTCTCAAATGTTGAACTGCTAAATAAAAGGCAGCCAGTTTTTATATGTCTCTATAGGGAGCCTGAGTTCAGATTTTTCTAAATTAATCTCTTTCATTCCTGTTGCTGAGTTGAAGGGACAGAGTGAAGTTCTGGACAGAATGGCCCCTTACTGCTGAGCCCTGAGCAGACTGGGAGCAGTGTCTCAGTCGGGGGTGGCAGAGGTGATGGCGAGGAGGGAGGTGGGGTGGTGACTCTGTTCCCATTCTGTCTTCTCTCATAGGAGACCGCCTGAGCATACACTCATGCCTGTGTTCCTAGCTGTATCAACCTATTTATGGCTGTGTCTGCCCCCAAAGCTCCCATTCCAAGGACTGCAATACAGAGGCTTATAATTGTATCGTGACCTGGTCCTACCCATGTATGCATTTGAGTATTTCCTTCTCTTTCACTTTGAAATTCTTTTTTGCAGCATTGATGGCCCACGTGGAAGACCTCATCATTAAGACTATAATCTCTGCTGAGCTCGCTATTGCTACCGCGTGTAAAACCTTTGTTCCTCATCGCAGCAGTTGCTTTGGTAAGGAGCTTGGGATGTTTTGTGAGGAGTATCCTCTGAGGTTGGGACAGGATTCTGCGGTAGAGAGGCTTAGTGATGCACAAGAATGAGAAGTATATGATGGACTTTGGCTTCTTTCTCAGCTCAGATAGCACATGAGGCACTTCACTAAGAGTCCTTAGGTGGAAGTCCCATGAGGAGTAACTAGCTTTCGGTGTGGAAAGCAGGATTGGAACTATGTGTGGGTCTCTCTGAGTGCAGGCAAAAAAGGAATCCAGCTCTAACGAATATATTGCAGAGCTCTTTGGCAGCCAGAGTAGGAACTGTTCCAAGAAGCCCTGGCTGGTACCAGTATGTGCTTTCTCCCACTTTCTGATGATTCTTTTTTTTGTTTTACTCTTCTTTCCAGTGGGTTATTTTTCTTCTTCCTCTTCCTCCTCTGTCTCCTCCTCCTTTTCTTTTCCCTTCCACTTTCTCCTCTTTTCTGTCTCTTCCCCTTCTACTCCAGCCCCAATCTTCTGATTGCATCAAGGAGGAATACTAAGCAGGTCTCAGATAATGGGTCAGGAAAGCTGTTCCCTACTGACCCTGCTAACTGTGGCTGTGGTATCGAGACTGTGGGTGTGTGTTTGTTTTTTATGCTCACAGGAACTTGGTAGTAATCACCGGTATGAATGTCTATAAAGTCATATATGCTTTCAGCAGAGGCTGGGCTGGTTGGTACAATGTACTCTCAGGTCACTGACAGATTGATTGAAGCATAGTGTGGTGCAGTACATGCAGTAAGGATGTAAGGGGTGTGACTTGCATAGGGGGTAAGAAACCTGGGTTGAAGAACCAGGCAGCCTTGAGGTGAGACCCATTTGCACCCCTTGCTAGCTACTTTGGTGATTTTCAGCAAGTTAATCTGTTTTCTCAGCTGTAAAGTGGCAGCTGCAGTGGTGCCTGCTTCTTAAGAGTACCATGCAGATCAAATGAGATGGTGCATGCAAAGTGCTTGGTGCAATGTGGGTCCTTAAGCTGTACCTAATAACAATTATTTTCTTATTATTTTTATAATTAGTCATTATAATGGCTTATCCTAATAGTCTGTGCTAAAGCGGCACTAAAATAAGGGAACTAGTGAGACTCTAAAGGGAAGATGTAGATAAATCTGAACCTAAAGTTTCACAGGAATAAAAGTGGTTATAATATCACATTAAAATGGATTCTAGATATCCATGTCTTCAGAAGTCCTTAAATGTCTCCCTAGGCTTAAATAATGTAATTGCAACCCCGTTTGGCCTTCAAAGCCTCTAAATGTCCGACCCTAGCTGACTTTTCTAGAACTTCATGTCCTCCTCTTAACTGATAATCCAGCTGTTCTCTACTCTACCTCTGAGCAGGCCATGCTGTGTTCCTCAGACAGTGCCCGCTTTCTGTTGCCATCTTGAAGACCCTTCTGTTGTCCTGGCACATCTGCTTCTTTTCTAAGACTCAGCCTCTCATGGCCTCCTCCAGGAAGCCTTGCCTCGCACAGCACCCTGTCGTGTCTCCTCTCCTGCTATGCTGGCTCATTTCATTCTTATTCCCATTGCTGCATGATGCTTTGCTCATCACTGTACTTGGCCAGGAGTCTCTGGGTTTATCTTTTGGAGTTCTTAATAGTCTCTGTGTCCCCCTTCCCACCTCGCCGTGTTTCTTACACCATTTCCCTGGACTTCTGAGGACCTTTTCTAAACCTTTGCACCTTATTTTATTTATTCTGTGTCTGGATCGTTTTTCTTGTTACTCTACTTCATAGATCACTGATATTTTCAAGACAAAGTCAGGTATCCCTTCTTTGGTGACCTCCTTTCTAACTGTGGTCAAGATTGCACTCTTCACCCTTGGGCTCCTGTGCTCTGGTCTTAACTGTACCAGTCCTTGTGTGTTGTCTGGTAGCTGTTTATGTGCCCATCTCTCCTACTGGAGCAGAAGCTCCTTGAGGTCACTGACAGGATCTCCATTGACTTTGCCCTCTAATACAGAGCAGTGGCTTTTGCTCTTAGAGGGTATTTGGAAATGTTTGCCAAATGAATGATTGGTGTTTGCTCTAACTTCCCTTTGATGACCTGGCAGGAGGCTTCCCAGTGGACCTAGTTTGGTAAAGGCCTAGAACTCTTACAATTATTACAGTGTGTTAACAGTATAGGTATGTGTTGTTCTATCCAGTGTGTCAGGTCCTGTGAACGAGGTGCCCACGGATGATAAGGAAAAGAAAGAGAGACAAGAAAAATAAGAGAGGCAAAAGTCTGGGATCAGGGGGCTTACAGCCTCTCGGACTGCAGCCTCGAATACCAATTTCTGTCACCTTTTTTTTTTTTTTTTTCGTCTTTTTGAGACAGGGTCTCGCTGTGCAGTTCAGGCTGGCCTTGAGCTCAGTTTGTAGCCCAGGCTGGTCTTCAACTCACAACGATCCTCCTGCCTCAGCCTCCCGAGTGCTGGGATTACAGGCCTGCACCACCACGCCCAGCCCTTCAGTCATCTTTTACCTAGCGAGAACCTAGGGCATAGCTAGTACTAATGGGCAGATACCAAACATTTTAGCAAGGATAATCAAACGATTATCCTTTTCCACATGTAATCCAAGACACGCCTGTAATCCCAGCACCCAAGAGGCTGAGACAGGAAGATCATAAACTCAAGGTTAAACAAACCATTGTGTCCTTAATGGATTCTAATCAAAGAATGTCCTTCTGCACAGGTATGGGGGTACAGAAGTAGAACTCTAAAACCTCATTAGATTAAAATAATAAATACAAGTTTCTTTTCTACATCTACTTGGTTCTTGTATGAAAGTAAATTTCTCAGTCAGGTGTGGTGGTGGCGTACACCTCTAATTCTAGCTCTGAGACTGAGGCAGGAGGATTGCCACGAGTTTGAGGCCAGTCTGAGCTACACAGTGAGTTAAGGCCGGCTGGAACTATATAGTTAGACCCTGTCTCCAACAAAACAAACAAACAAACATTTCTCATAGCCCTTGTTGTGAGAATCTTTGTTCTAGGAAGTTAATCATGAAAACTTAAATGTTTCCTTTTCTATCTTGTTTTATTACCTGACTGCCTTTTGGAAGCGTAGGAATTTACCAAACTTCCTGGCAGTTGAACATTTCAATGGGAAGACAGTAGTGACTTCCTCTGACTCTGTGAAATACCCACTAGTCCATAGGGCCAGCGTGGGTCTCCTTTCTCCTTTCTTGCTTGTGTTCAGTTTCAGTCAACTGAGTGTATCTGGAGTTTTTTCAATTGTTGACTGTGTTGTTGGGTTTTGTGGTTCTAATTCCACTTCCTGTCAGCCCTGGGATCTTGTGTGCTTCGTTAGCCTCCGCCGGGCAGATGTGACTCTGCATACGTGAGTATATTTGTATGAGCCTCTTTGTGTCCTCTAACTCTTAACCTCCCTTGAGGTTTAAGTTACAAGGAGTAAGCTTTTTCTTTTTTTCATTTGCCTTAGAGTAAACAGGAAGTGAGAGTTTCCCAGAAGATTTTGGCTTAAACAGAGGATTGGTACTTTTAGGGGAAGCAAGTAGTTCAGGAATGGGTCTCCCAGTAGTCTTCTGGTTATTGTTGCTGACCTTCTACCATATGAATCTCTGCCAGGGGCATTCCATTGCCATCTGAGGGTTTCTGTCCTGTGATTTCTTTTCCCATCCTACCACCTGTAATGTCCAGTTCTGTTGCCAGGAACCTTCAGTTATTTCATTCATAGCTTTATTTACACATTTAACTTTTTTTCAGTTTCTGTCATGTGCCTGGCATAGGTAAGTCTTTGAACACTGCATTGCCATCAACAGTTTGTTCCTCTCAAACCAGATTTTACATTGATGAATACATATATATATGTGTGTGTGTATATACATATATATATATACATATATATCTGTATTGCATCATCAGATTTATGTATAGGTTTGAAAGCCTTCACAGACTATTTTGAAACCTAGCCGTTTAATGCTTTTTCATAGGATTGTATGTCTGGGCAGACCTTAGCAAATAAATAGTCCAGGTATAGAAATGGAGACCTTGAGAAATTAATCCCTCTCAGGTTCTGCAGCTAGTGAGTGGAAGAGCTCAGACGAAGGAGGCCAGAAAAGTGGAACTTAGGAAGATTAGTCCTAGCAGTCATAGCATCTTGATCACAGGGCTTCAGTTGTAGAATTTTTGATGCCTCCTCCAGTAAAACAGATTTTTGACAATGTAATTATTACTGCCTCCCAAGATTGTGAGAATGTCATGCCGTGTGTAAGAATATGCTTCAGTAGCAACTCTTCAGATGTGCAGAGGAAATTGGCACTGGGAGACAACTATGAGAACAGCCTTTTCACTATTTGAAGAAAAACAGCCAAAAACAACAGGATGTTAGCTGTGCTCTAAAGATGTTGCTGCTGACAGCGGTTTTATCTTTGTGTGTGCGGATAGCTGAGGTGATGAGCTATGATCTGGTCCTTTGTAGTGTAGCATCATGTGGACCAGCTGTGGGGCCACTTAGGGCATGAATAAGCTCAGCCATGTTTTGCTGATACCAGCGACGTTTGCTGAGACCAGCCGTGCTAGGGGCCTCTCTCTGTTTTTGTTACTTCTGTTCTTGACCATTTTGCAGTGTACACTGACATTCTCAGAGGGAAGGTGTCCATAAATGACTGTGGAATGAGTAGAAATGGGAAACATACCAATACAAAAATAAGGAAAGTCAAAGTGTTCACTTCTGAAGATAATATCCTTTCCTGGTTTATCCCTGGTTAGGCTGGAAAGAAAGTTTACCGTAGCAGGGATTTCTGCAGGACATACCTGCTGTTTGTCAAATGAACATTGTTTTTTCTCTTTAGTCCTCAACAATATTGTTGGTATTTAGTACCAATAATATATCATAAAATCCTTGTTTTATACACAAGAAAAAAAGATTCAGAAAGATTAAGTAAGTTGTCCTAGGTCATGAGGCCAATAAATAGCAAAGCCAAGTTTGGGAGGCAGGCCTCTCTGGCTCTTTCTCCACCCACATAAAGACAAGTTCGGATGAGTCCGGCCACTTTTGGCATGCCTTGTATTCTGGACTTTCCTCTTCTGTCCTGTAACTAGATCTCAGGGGAACACTTTCCTTTTTTCTAGCAGATCAAGCCTGGAAAAGGCACTCTTTCTCCTGTAGTCAACAGTACCTCGTACTAGATACTCCTTGCAAGTCTACCTTTACATCTGATAGCCAGATACCATATTGATTTAGTGGACTAGCTAACAGTTGGCTTTGGGCGTTTTCTTTTATTTAGTTCATTTTCCTATGGGATCTTGGTCTGTTTTTTTCCAGATTTCTCCTTCTGGATCCCACTATAAAGACTTTTCTCTTAGCTTTTGAATTCAAATCCAAAGCCAAGGTGAGAAGAATTTCCTTTATACAAAAGAATTTTAATGACAGAACTGGAGAATATCAGCACTTTGCATTGCCTTGGGGACTATCATTTCAGTTGGGGTTTTATTTCTGTGGAAGATTAGTGGATTATTTCCAAAATTAGTGGTGTAGCATGCTTAATAATCTCTTAGGCCTTAGATGGACCATTTCTTTAACAATCTTTTTTTCTGTACCCTTCTCTAAGCCATCTTTTATTAGGTTTTTCCTTAATAAATCTTTATTATGTAAAATTCTTTTTCATATTTAATGCAGGGAATTGAACCCAGGATCTTGTACATCCTAAGAAAGTACTCTAGCACTGAGGTACATTTCTAGCCCTTGTGAAATTCTTAATAAGAATTTTTCTTACTGTTTTTAGGATTGTTGGTTTTATTATAAATAAGTTAAGTTGGATCAGGATTATTTTGGAGGGAGGTTATTACAATTTATTTTTAAATTGTAGGTTACTTTGTCTTCTTTGAAAATTGTATATTGCTTTTTGCTTACATTTTTTAAATATTTCTTCATTGTTTTCTATGTATTAGTTATGGAGAAGGCTACTTGGTGTAACACCAGATAAGACATGGCTCTTGCCCTTAAAAGATGAAGATGAGCAGGGATAATATGATAAATGACAGCAAAAGTATAGTGACTGTAATGCTCTTAGAATACAAGAATTATCAGATTTGCCTAAGGCAGCCAGGAAAAGCCATTTCTGAGAGAGAGCACATGATGTGCAAAATGAATATCGTGACCAGATGTGGCATTTTTTGAAATGGTAAGAAGTGTGACTAGATGTAGCTGGCATGGAATGGGCGTATAAGAGATAAGGTTATGTAGGTGGATTAGGGCCAGATTAAAAAGACTAGTAAATTTGACTTTATCTTGGGGAAACATTCCCTGGAGGTGCAGGAGAAAAGTAAAGTTATTATTTATTTCTTTAATTTTTATCATAGTTTGACCCAAAGCTCCAGATGACTGAGTTGCAACAAAGGAAATACTGTACAATGTTATTAGCAGTGGTCAATTTAAAATCCTCTAGGAATAAACCTTACATTAGTATCTATTGCTAAACCAGTTTATTCCCTGTCACTGTGTGACTATTAGACTTTTTTTTTTTTTTTGAAGAGGTCATTCTGATGGCCTTGGAGAATGGACTGCAGTGGGGGAAGATGGTGCTAGGGAAATGACATAGGCAGTAAGAGGTATGCAGTGACAGTATACACTTACCACGTGACCAAACATTCCCACTCCTAAGTATTTACCTAGGAGAAATGAAACCATATGTTCTCACAAATACCTGTGCACAAATATTTATAGCAGCTTTATTCATAATGGCTAAAAATTGAAAACAACACAAATATTCATCAGCTGCTGATTAGATAAATTATATCCATATTGTAGGGTATTACTCAGCAATAAAAAGGAATGAACTGCACTATTGATACATGTAACAACATAGGTAAATCTCAAAAACACAGCACCAAGTGAGAGAAGCCAGGCTCAAAAGCTACAAATTAAAACAATTCCATTTATTTGACTTTCTGAGACAGGCAGAAAACAAAAATCAGATCAGTGATTGTCAGGTGATGGGGGAAGTGGAAATTAACTACCAAAGGGCAAGGCAATTTGTTTTAGCAGGATTTTTTGTGCTCTGTGTACATTAACTCTGATCAAACAGTAGTGAAGTTAGTCTGTTTTTCTCAGGGAAAAAGTGTAAGCAGTTTATTTAGTGACACAGGGTAGGGTGTTTGAGGAGTGAATGAGACTTCTGAGAATCTGATGTGTTCGACGTATGTATACCAAGGAGTGCACACTGTGATTTTTTTTCATAGAGAGAATTTCATTAGTAATAATATGAAGGGCTCCAAAGTTAACCTCTCATCCCTGAATTTGTTAAATAAAACAAGCTTGCTTTGCTCTTTATCATTGTTGGGAAAGTAGAAGAAAATCACTGAAGATTCCAGAAGCCATGGAAACTTGATCTTTGGCTCTCTCTGTTCTTAAATAGTATTAGTGATGCAGGTGGCTTGTCACAATCCTGCTATGCTGCCATTGGCTTCCTCTTTTCTGTTCTTTCTATCTACAGACCAAGTGTTTTATTTTCTTTCTTCAAATGAAAATTGAAATCATTGGAGAGGAAAAATAATAAATATATTTTACATTTAGATGTCTTCTTGACATGGGTTGCAGAAGCAAGATCTTAGGTGTTCGGGAAGGTGACAGAAGGATCCTAACGCGATGCCTTCAGTAGATCCTTCTGCTTTCAGAATATAGTGGGGGGGGTGGCAGTAGCAGACAGTCTTGAGCAAGCCTGGAGCAGGATTGACACTGAATATGTCTCATTCCTTTTCCCAGCTTTTTTATACATAAGCACAGCATGCCCATTAACTTTTTCTGAGTCAGATTGCTATCTAAGCAGAAATTGGAACATCAATGGAGTGGATGAATAAATATTGGAATTTTGTTGCATTGTTTTAAAATTATTCCTAGGATGTGATTACCTTCCCTTAAATTTGTAAAGCTTTTGCTTCTACTTTCACTTACTGCTTATAGTCTGCGAGTTTCTAAGCCTCTAATGGCAGCTGATTCGATTAAAACTTCCAGATCTTTGTGCAGTCATGATGTAGAAAATTGTGCAGTCACGATGTTACTGTGTTGTGTTGTATTTCTAGAATTGTATGGCTTTGATGTGCTCATAGACTCTACCCTGAAGCCATGGTTGTTGGAAGTGAATCTCTCCCCTTCCTTGGCCTGGTAAGTCAGTTCTATCAATATGAAAAGGATAAACCTGCAAGTGGCACTAAAACACCTTCTTTTAGGGGCAGGAGCATTTCTTATGACACCGGAAGACACAAGTTGTTAGTCACAGATGACTTGAATTTTTTTAATTTAGAGGACTTATGGTATGTTGTCAAAGTTCATATGTCAACCAGGGTCCCTGTTTTCCTAGTCATGTGCAATATGTATTTACTGTTGATTGGGCTTCTATGAAATGATTCTTACATTCATTTTTATTCCCAGTTTTTTTTTTTTTTAACTTTGTAGGTTTTCTGTTAAGGCTAAAGAAATACATAAAGTATTATGCTCCCCACCTTTTTTTTTTTTGACCAAAGTTTTGTACATACCAAAGTCCTTATCAACTTGAAAGAGATGAAGCTAAGGGTTGGGGATTTAGCTCAGCTGCACAGCACCTGCCTGGCAAGCACAAGGTCGTGAGTTCGGTTCCCAGTACGGGGGGGAAAAAAAAAAAATAGAGGTGAAACTAGATGTAGGGGACTGTGAATAATGTCTGATCCTTTTGTCCTGCTCCATGTTCTGGTGTCCATCCATGATAAAAATCTGAAAACTTCAAAGTGGGCATGGTGGTGCATGCCTATAATACCAGCACTCAGGAGGCTGAGGCAGGAGGATCATTCTGAGTTCAAGGCCAGTCTGGGCTACAAAGTGAGTTCAAGACCAGCCCGAACTGCACAGTGAGACCCTGTCTCAAAAAGACAAAAAAAAAGTCTAAAAACGTGAAACTTTTAAAAACCAATCTATTTTTTAGAAGAATGAAATATATTTTTCAGTATGAAAGAAGATTCTGTTTACACCCACAGTTACAGCCGGAATTTCTATTCGCTATCTGCTCTCTAAACAGAGAACCCTAGAGATCTATGCCACAGACCACCCAGCTGCTAAGTTTTTAAGGCTAAGAGATGTTGGCAAAATGCCAGGTAATCAAATAAAGACAGATTGACTACTCTGTAGAGTGGGAGTTTGGCTTAATTTCAGTAGTAAGGTGTAAAGCTAGATTCTGCAGATGCTTTCAGTGTTACGCTGCACTTTCGTCAGGTCAGCCTTTTGCGGATGCCTGGTAAAGTATATTTGACAGTGTCAGAGATCCCCAGGGTGAACACAGCGTTCAGCAGCCAGAATAGCCTGGTTCAGGAGGAAAACCTCAACAGTAAAGCCAATACAGAGGCCACCTACTTTCATTCCATGTTTGTTTCCGTGTAAGATCCTCCTGCGTCATCTGAGATTTTGGTGTGGCTTGCTTGTATCCTTTTGCTCTGTTTGTAAGCCTGCAAGCCTAAGAAGATTGATTAGAACAGAAAATGAAGACTTGACCAGCAGCATTTGTTTGTTTGTTTGTTTTTGGTTTTTTGCCGTGCTGGGGACTAAACCTAGGGCTCTGAGCATGCAAGGCCAGTGCTCTGCCCCTTACTTAGCTACACCCCCAGCCCAGAAGACTAAAAACATAGTACAAAGATGGCCGGAGCTTCTCATCGTCCGTGTGAAAAATGATTCAACAATTGCATCAGTAATGCCTGGCTTGGACGACCGGCACACTCACAAAAGCATATACTGAAAGTCTGAACCTCTAAAATCCACAGTGATAATGAAACCATATTCTTGATTTGTACAAACTTTAAATTGTACAAGGCTTGGAGAATGAAAAGATTCCTTTTCAAGGAATCAGTGTGTTAGTGCTGAGCCTGTCTTACAGAGCATGTGTTTAAAAGCAGTCTTTTATTTCTTGTATTTTTGCCCAGGTTTCTTTTTTTTTTCCCCATGGATTTGATGTGCTTTTTGTGTTGCTTTCTCATTGACATTTGGAAAGTTTGCTACATGGGGGCCCATTAGGACGCAGTTACTCTGTTAACTTACAGAATTACCAATTGTTCTTTTTTTTTTTTTTTTTTCTGTTCTGTTAGTGATGCACCTCTGGATCTAAAGATTAAAGCCAGTATGATTTCAGATATGTTCACTGTTGTAGGTGAGTAGTGCTGTTTTCTGAACTGAACTCACAGAAAAATGAACCAGAGCATCCATTTTGTCAGGCTCCATAGGTATTGCCAACTGGCAGTTCCGAAGCCATGCCGAATGTTTTGTACTAAAAAATTATATTTTCAGGGAAGTGTTTATATGTTTCTGCTCCCCCTGGCTCCATTCTGTCCCAAGGTTGAACCACAACTAAGGCTGAGACCTGGGGCACAGGAATTATGAGCTGAGGCAGAGAATTAAGTGAAGATCTGTAGAGGGTATACTTTTCTCTCAGCTGGGAAAGTGAAACCCACTGCAGAAGCCTTGTTACAAAGGAGACTGGCTGTATTTCTGCCTTATGTAGACATAAGGCAACATGATCCCTTATGTAGTAGTTACACTCAGAGCTGCGCAAGGGAGAAATCCCATTTTAAGTAGACAAGCCAAAACTTTGAAATGGAGATGGCCATTCAGGTGGGTATGAAGTGGATTTATTGTTGGCTTTTAAAATTCTCTCCAAAGACGTTATAAAACGTATTTGAGATGAACTAGTACTTGATGTACCAGTAAATGCTATAAAACTTAGCTACTTTATTCTTCTTGGATGGGAATCCACCTCTTTTTAGGAAGTAGGTGAAATTAACTGAAGTCATTTCTTAAGCCATAGATAATTTACAAAGCCCATTTTCAAAGTTTCCAGTAGACCACCTTCAGCAGTTCCAGAAGTAGATCGTGTAACAACACAAGACTGCTCACTTGTTGGATTCTCTCTGGAAAAACTTTATTTTTCAGTCATCATCCAGGAAGCTATTTTAAAAATAACTTGTTTTTATTAACAACTATGTATTTTAAAATGATTACTTGCACATTTTTGGGATTTATCAAAAATTCACATATCTTTGTCAGTCAGAATCACATTTCAGCTACTTATCCACCAGCATAATCCGCTTGAGAATGAGTCTCTGTGATATTTATGATCATGAAGCCAAATTTGTACACATAAAGCTGAAGCCAAACTTACTTCTTGTAAAATGGCAGGTTTTAATGTTGCTCATTTCCCACTCAGGATTCGTATGCCAAGATCCTGCCCAGCGAGCATCAACACGGCCGCTTTATCCCACCTTTGAGTCTTCCAGGCGAAACCTTTTCCAGAAACCTCAGGTAAGCAGATCCAGTAGCAGGGAGCCTGGAGCAGGCTTGCTGGGAAGTGGTAGCAGATGAAAGTGAGGAAGCTGAGGTATGTGGCGGTGAGGTCACCTAGGGCCGGAGACTCGGGGATCCTTGCACACAGAAAGTAGTTTATGTTTGCCTGTGGCTGATAGCTCATACTTTCAATGCTCCTCAACAAACTTAGACCTGCTTGGGTTTTTTTTCCCCTGTCATCTTTTTTCACTACTTTTCCTTTTTCTTTTTTCTGCCTTTTAAAAACTCACATCCCCCTCCTCTGTTGACATACTCATAAACAAAGCACAGAGAGGGAGGTGTTAGTGCCTTCTTGCTGTTCTTCAGACTAGTTTCATAAAGATGCTCTGTTGAAATAGTATCTTCTCTACATGTGATTCTCTTCAAAAGGAACCTTAATGATCTTAAGGCGTTGACTGAAGCTAAATGAAATAAATGCCTAGGGAAACTTTTGCATATCAGAAACACCATTTGGTCTCGCACCACTCTGGTCTTTCTGCATTCTGCGTGTAAACCAGTCAGCTGAACCTATTGTCCACTTGTTCCATGATCTCTTTTGTCCCTGTTTGTTTTGAGACTGCTAGTTTCCACTTCTCTGTCTTTGCCTTTAATTAATATATCTTATTTAAAAGATCTGACTTCCTCCTTTCCACGTATTCACCAAAGTTTGATTACTTTGCCTACTCAGAAGTTTTGGAGATCTTTCCCTATTAAATCCATCCCACTCTGTAGTGACCTTGTTTTTCATTTCCACATTACTTACTTGTTCCATATTGACTTATTCTGTATTCATTGATTGTTGCTTTTTAAATTAATTAGTACTCCTTCCCCTGATTGCAAACACTTTGAAGGCGGAAACAGTTTGTTTCTCTCTCCTCCCTCTTCCTGTTCCTTTTTTCCTCCTCTGCTTTTGATTCCTCTCCTACCTCCTCTTCAGTCCTTTACTCCTCCCTTTTCTTCCATTCCTCTTCCTCCTCCTCTTTTGCTTGCTGGTCTCATTCAGAGCAGTTCTGTTCCTATTTGCCAACCTTTTGTGCTATTTTCATTAAAAGAGAGTTTTCAAACTCAGATGGGTAAGTAAGGGCAGATCTAATGAAGCCAGAGTCAAGTCAGAAGGAGATGACAGAGGTCAGCTGGAAAGGGCGAGCCTCACGCAAAAGGGGCAGCTGTTTAACAAATGTGCTCAAGCTGATCACTGCATAGGTGTGGGCCAAGGGTGCTGAGAAATCAGAAATCTTACTTTTAAATATTGGCAACTAATTCATGAAAAGAAAAAAAGTGACAACTACTTTGCAGGCCAACCATAACACGCCTTTCAGCTAGATTCAGTTTGTGAGCTGCTATCTGTGATCCCTGCTCTGGGATGATTCCCTAATTTGTATTGTGATGTGGAACAGGATGTACAGTATTTTAAGAGGAATTGTCTTGGATTAGAAATAAAACCAGGCAACAGAATAGTGCTTCATCAGTGCATCACCACCGATCAAAGGGTTTCCTTTAATTTTTAAAATGAAAAAGTAGAGAATTAACCTAAGTGTAGTAGGAAAGCTTAATTTATGCAATCACCTTCCTTCACAGATTGTTCCCTGCAGCATTGCGGCAAGAACTGCAGAGCTGTGCGTAAGGGGTTCTGAGCGTTTCTGTGCAGTTCTGACATGGTTTCTGCCAAGTTTCACTCTAGGGACAGACATAAATCATTCTTGGATGAACAGGTCCCTTTTTTGGCTTGCTTGTCACTTTTACTGGCAGTTCTTTGCAGATCATAGAGAATCTGATCAATGTTTGTTTTGCTGACTGATAGATAATGGCATGGGCATCGCCCACAAGCAGCTTACAGAATACTTATGTAAAGGCTAAAGGAACTGTGGATTAGTTGTGTGTATTGCGGGAAACAAATTTGTCAGGTGGTCTAGTTCACTTTAGGACCTTCCATACCTGGCAGTAGGAGTGTGCCCTTAGTGGTGAGAGGGTTTGAAGTGCAAACTCTGTAAGAGGGAGTAATGTGAAAAAGAACAACTTCTCTAACCGTCCAGTGACAAAGTGTTGTTCTGTACTTAGAGATTGTTTTTTCCCTTTTCATATCATATATGTAGGAGATAGGAAATACAGACATGATAAACCTTTGTTCCATTTTTTCTCTCCTTTATAGTGTCGTAGGTCTGCAGGGTCTTGCTCTGCATTTGAGACAGGGTCTCACTATGTTGCTTGTTTTTTTTGTTTTTGAGACAGGGTCTTGCCATGTTGTTCAGGCCTTGAACTCACTATGTAGTTGAGGCTGGCCTCAAATTGGCAGTGATCTTCCTGCCTCAGCCTCCCAAGTGCAAGGATTAGAGCTATCAGCCACCAGCACAGCTTTGCCTGTATTTTAACATGATTACATGTAGCTGCAGTACTTGGATTGCAGAAGATTGCGGTAGGCATGTTGGTGAGCAAGGCTTCTCTCTAGTGTTATATATTTCAGTGCTGCCTACATGATGCAGAGCCTCTCTGGATGTGTTTAGCAAACTTTACGCATGTTAAATTCTTTAAATCTTAGCATTCTTTGCAGTTTTCTGCTTTGTCTCTCTCTATTAACAAAGCATTGCCCTCCACAGTAGTTTCATCAGAGCTGAGGAATAAGACAAAAAAGTTTCTGCTCTGACGATGTACACTGTGTAAGTTTTCTTTTTTCATGTCAAGTTTTTTGTTGGCTTTTAGTATTTCTCCTTTGTCTGTCTTTTCCTTTTAAACCCAGTATCTCTAGATTTTTCTCTTCCCTTAAACATTGTTTGTATTTTCCGCCCTCTACAAATTGTATTGCATGTTATTATGGAAAGAATGTGGATTTTAGAATCAGTTGGCCTTGCATTCAGATTTGATTTCTGCTGTCCTTGGCTGATACACCCCAGGCAGGTCCCCTTTCCTCCCTGAGTGTCGGTTCCCATATCTGCCAGATGGGGGTAATCATATTTGCACTGAATTAGGGGGAGGAGAAAAGAATAAAACCTGCGTAAAATACTTAGGGTATTTCTACACACTTAGTTTACACTCAGAAAATTTACTGCCCTTCATACTTTTTTTTTTTTTTTTGGTCTTTTTGAGACGGGGGTCTCACTATATAGCTCAGGCTGGTCTTAAGCTTACTTTATAGCCCAGGTCGGTCTCGAACTTGCGAGGATCCTCCTGCCTCAGCCTCCTGAGTGCTGGAATTACAGGCATGCACCACCACACCCGGCTTGCCCTTCATACTTTTTAGTTCTATTTTGGTTCTCTCTCTCTCTCTCTCTTTTAAGATTCAGGATACTTTTTATTAAGTAAGGCTACCACATTTTACTGCTTTTTTCATGGGCCCTGAGGCTTCTAGTTTTGTATTGTTTTTCTACTAAACTATAAGCTTCTTTATTACCATTTTTAAATTTTTATTAGTACATATTTGTAGTACGTGCCATGTACAGTCATCTTGGGGAGTAGTTAACATGTTCATGCTAGAGCTTGTTTCTTTTCTTTTTTTTTTTGGTTTTCCTTTTTTCCCCCATAGTCAGTATTTGGGTGTTACTTTGATATTCATCAATCCATAGTCATGTTTTTCACATTTGCTGTCATCTACGAATGCTGTTTTATTTATTTTTTTCTTCCTCACATTAATGAAAACTAAATAATGCTTATTACTAGTCCTGGAAATTACTGTTTAATTTATTACCATTTATGCCATCTTGCAGTTACATCTTTTAATTAGTCTCAGTTTTTGTCCATTCATTATGTCATAGCACCATCCCCTGAATGGAAATAGAACTTAGAATAAACATTTTATGAAATTTTCTCAAATGCATCTGCTATAAGTCCCCCTTTTTGGTAATTTTGTTCTAAAAGTCAAATTTTTAAATCATGTTTTACAATAAATAAAAGTCTCCATACTACTATTCTTTAAAAGCTCATTGAACTCTAGATGTTATGGATTTTTTTTTTCTTTTTTGTCTTTTTGAGACAGGGTCTCGCTATGCAGTTCAGGCTGGCCTTGACCTGACTTTGTAGGCCAGGCTGGTCTCGAACTCGTGACGATCCTCCTGCCGCAGCTTCCTGAGTGCTGGGATTATATTATTATATTTCAACCTTCTCTTTGGTAACCATTTTTGGTCCATTTCTACCCAGATTTATTGATAATAGTCCTTCATTTTCTTTTACTTGGTAGCATTGTTTCTAAACTTGATTTTTACCTTTTGTTTTTTAGATGGCAAAGACAGAGGACTTGTAAATTGAGCAGTTTCTAGTTCCTTCGCTTTTTAAAGAAAATTCCTAATGAAAGTGGCATTGAAGATTTTTATTTTTTGTCTTTGTTTTCTGTCAAGTGGGTTTGTTCTCTGCCCCCTAGGTACAGGATTGCTCACCTTCATCCATGTTCTTCATCGTGTCAGGATCCTCTCATGACTGGTACTTTCCAGCTTCCCTTACACTGGGAAGAATTTTCTGGATTAGCACATTTCTTACTGGTTTGAAAGCGAACACATAGCTCCTTGTCTCAAAAATGTCACATTCTCAGTTCTTCCTTAGGAATACCGGGTAGCTACTTAAAGCATTTCTACTCTGGATAGTTTTCTGAATCCTAAATTGTACTCACAATAATTTAATATCGTTTGATGCATTTTGTGTAGTAGCATTCTTACCTAGACAGTAAGTCAGCAGCTTAAAATTGATGTAGCCACTTCCAGTTTAAATTGTTACATTCCCTAGCCAGTGCAGTGGTTCTGTTTCAGTTTAGAGGAGCCTTATTTCCTTTCTCCATTGAAATATGTGACTTACTATCATATCTGCCTCTCAGAGAACGCAGTCACTGTTCCGCAAGTCAAAACCATAGAAAAGCTTCTGTTTGGGCTGTTTTGCCCTTGCTTTTGGTAGTTATGGTGACCTTCAAGTGACTGTGTTTCTCATCCATGTCTCTAACTCCAGGTGTATCCCTTCCTTTCTCAGACCTCTCAGGTGACAGGACAGAGGTCCTAATTCCACCTCCCGCCCCGGCAGTCCACACCTGTGTACACAATTGCTACAGCTAGATCCTGGGCTCTGAATAACAAAGGAGTCCTTGTGAATGACAACAGCAGCATGGGAGACAACTCTTTGACAGTGATTGGCAGAGAAGTTTAAGAATGTTGAGTGCTGACTCATTATTATAGCCTGACATAGTGATGCACGCCTGTAATCCCAGTACTCTGGGAAGCTGAGGCAAGAGGATCAAAAGTTTGAGCCCAGCCTGGGCAACATCAGGAGACTTTACCTCAAAATTAAAAATTTTAAAAAAGAGATGGGAGTGTAACTCATTGCAAAGGCAATGCATTTAGTACCTAGTGCTAACAAAGCAAAACAGAACAACAACAACAACAAGAACATCAAACCTGCATTAGGTTAGCACTTGAGAGGACAGTCACAATATCATATGCCGCCAGGTGTGATGGTGCACACCTGTAATCCCAGCACTCAGGAGGCTGAGGCAGGAGAACTGCTAAACATTCTAGGCCAGGTGGGGCTACGTAGTGCGTTTAAGGCCAGCTTGAACTATGTACCAAGACCCTGCCTCAAAAAATCAAAACCAAGCAAATAAAAAATCATATGTCAATTTGAAGGAGCCAAGAATATTAAAAATCACTTTTAAAAAGTCTCAAACTGGAAGTACTTGTTAGGGATCATTCAATAGTGATTTGACCTGTGTTCTTACAAATACAATCACATATTCCCTTAAAACTATACAAATAGGTACTGATTATGTCGTGAAATATTTTTATTGACCTTTTAACACAGATTTTAGTTTATCAGCACTTTTAAAGGGTGTTCTTGGACCAGGCATGGTGGCGCACACCTATAATCCCAGCACTGTGGAGGCAGAGGCAGGAGGATCTTTGTGAGTTTGAGACCAGCCTGAGCTACAAAGTGAGTTCAAGGCCAGACTGAACTGCATGGTGAGACCCTGTCTCAAAAAGACAAACATAAATAAATAAAATAAGATAAAGTAAGTGTTAATGCTGGGCGTGGTGATGCACACTTGTAATCCCAGCACTCAGGAGGCTAAGGCAAGAGGATCATTGCAAGTTCAAGACCTGCCTGGGCTACAGAGTGAGCTCAAGGCCATCCTGAACTGCATAGTGAAACCCCCATCTCAATAAGGCAAAAAAAAAAAAAAAGAAAGAAAGAGCATTCTTTCTACTCTAAAATGTGTACTGAAATATCTTTATTACATCATTAAATGCATACTTATGCTATCTTTCTTCTTACATAATTTGACATGATTTTGAAGTACCCTTAAATAGCACCAGGTAAGAAGGCTGCTTGACTTGGGATAATTCATTGCTGGTGGTTTTACGTGGCTTTGTGATCAGGCCATGCTGTCTCATGTGAACTAGTTAAGTACTTTTTTGGCAAACAATAAGTAATGTGTGACCATGAGAAAAGCCTCAAATTATCCATTTATTTTGGCTTTTCAAAACTAAACTCTAAATAATCATCATACTTTAAAGAGTTTTTAAAAATGGTTGTGTTACTTATATTGGTTTCCTTCCTAAATCTTCAAACTTCCCTCATCTTTACCCTTTTTTTCCAACACTTGCTCTTTAATATATTCCCAGAGATCGAAGGGAATTAAAATGTTTCCAAAATCTCTCTGCAAGTTATAGTTCTAAACATGATTGATCTGTATGTCAGCACATTCATTCATTTATTTGTTCAACAAATATTTATTGACCTACTGAATGCCAACTGCTCTAGCTGTTGAATGTACTACAGTAAAAGCTAAGTGGTAACAGTTGCTGCTTTCACATGTTGCTTATATCTGTTCTATCCTAGGTTTTTTAATGCCTTATATGTCATCATGGAGTTGGCTCTCAGAACATTTAATTTTTTAACTCCTAAACTAGCTTTGAAGAGTAGTATGTATTGGTGTTCCTTCTTTCAAAGGTGAAATCGTTTGTGAATTGTGTACACAGGTATATTAGTCTGTGTGGGCTGTTATAACAATGTAGCATTGACTGTGTAGCTTAAGCAACAGCAATTTTATTTCTCACAGTCCTGGAGGCTAGAAGAGTCCAAGATGGAGGGGACAGCCAGGTAGACTTCCTTGCAAGACCTTATCTTGCCTGGCAGGTGGCTGCCATCTCATTGTGTGCTCACACCTGGGGAATCGAGCATGTGGGATGAGCGAGCTCTCTGGCACTAATCCCATTAGACCAAGGCCCTGTGCTCATGACTGCATGGCATCTTGGTGTCCTCCCAGAACCTCATTTCCAAATGCTGTCACACGGGAATGAGAGCTTTAAAATACAAATTTAGGAGAGACATCATGTTGTTATGGTTTGTGTCTGTATGTCCCCCCAAAGCCTCATGCTGTCATGGGGCAGGCTTTTAGAGTTTGATTGATTATGGGTGTGAGAGCTACACCTGCCCTGGGGTGGATAGTTTGCATATGTAAGGGCGAGGAAGAGGCTGCTTGTGGCCATTCCTCCCTTTTGGTGCTTGCTGCTTTTGCTGTGTTCTGCCGCCATGAGCTGTAGCCCTCTGCCATGTGCCACTCTGCCTTGTAACCTGCCAAGTACGGACTGAAACCTCCACAAACTGTAAGCGAAATAAACTTTTCCTTCCTTAATTTTGGGTACCAGGTATTTTGTCCCAGCAACAAGAGAAAAGTAACCAAGACACATGTCCACAGATGGTCTAAGCAGAGAAAAAGGCAATAATAGCTCCTAACCATGGAGCAGCTACTTCTCTGTGGTTGAAGTTTCTTCTAGGAAGCTAAAAAAGGTCTGCACCCATAATTCTTGAATTAGTTCTCTCTTTTTTTTCTTTTAAATTTAAGTTTTTATTAGTTCATGCTTGCAGTGCTTTTTTGTTGTTGTTGATGTTGTTGTTGTTGTTTTTGAGACAGGGTCTTGCTATGTAGTTCAGGCTGGGTTTGAACTCACTGTGTATCCCAAGCTGGCTTCGAACTTGCAGTAATCTTCCTGCCTCAGCCTCGTCAGTGCTGGGATTACAGCACTGTGATTACCTCCACACCCAGCCTGCAGTGCATAATGATTACGTTCATCATGAGGGAATGGTGCATTTACATGACTCATCTTAATACTTTTTACATCTCCTCCTCATCTCCCTTCTACCTTCCTCCCTCTTTTTTTTTTTTTTTTTTTTTTTGGTCTTTTTGAGACAGGGGCTCGCCATGCTCCTGCCACCTGAGCCTCCAGAGTGCTGGTATTACAGGTGTGCGCCACCATGCCTGGCCTTCCTCCCTCATTTCTTCCCACTTGGTAGGTAGGTCTTGTTTCTCTCAGTCACTTCGTCTGTTTCAGGACTAGTAGGTATGCTTCTTATCACCTGATGACTTCCTTCGCTACCTTCCTATTCTTTCCATAACACCAAACCACATAAAAGTTTTGTACTCAGATGGTGCCCCGGTCATCATGCGGTGGCTACAGTCATCCAGGTGATCCATTGGGACCATGATGGTGCCCCGCTGGGGCACTGAGGGCAGCCAGCCTCATGTTAGGTCTTTTAACGTGCAGCAGCCACAGTGTTTCCTTCAGGGTGGCCCTTGTCACAGCTTTCTTCTGTGTGACAGTAGATGCCTCTGAGTCATTATTCTCCCCTCAAGTTCTGAAATGGCTTATAGCCCAGCTTTTTTCATCTTTGGCATAGGAGACTTTTCCTTGGTTTTGTGTCTGAGGTCTCAGTTCTCTATACTCTTTCCCCAGTTACAGTAATAAATGCATATTTACTTTTCTGTGAAGCTGTTTCCAGATTTTTTCCACTATCCTTGAAATACTGTATGTTCTTTAAACCAAGGTTAAGAGTAAATACTAACTTAGTGAAACATCTGGACATCATTTTTTTTCCCTTCTTGTTTCTCTTCCATGCATAGTGTTTTTTCCTGTGTTGTTTTCTCTTTTTGACTTTGAATTTACTAGTTCTCGTCTGCTGGCCAGGGTTGCAAGCTAAAAGATTAATTATAGAAATTGGAGTGCAGGCTTGAGCTTGCACTTGTTAGGAAAGGTAATAATGTTGAGGAAATCAACAGAGGGAAATACGGAAAGATGATGAAAACTTTTTGTATTTTTAATTTGCTTTTCCTTCCTTCCCCTCAGCGGTCCCGCCCACTCTCCGCCAGTGACGCAGAAATGAAGAACCTTGTGGGCTCAGCCCGAGAGAAGATGTCTGGGAAGCTAGGTGGCTCCGTGCTCGGTCTGTCCATGGAAGAGGTAACGATTACCCTGCTTCAGGCCCTGTGGGCTAGCACAGGATTCATGAAAGGTAGTGACTGATGGGAAAGATTCATGAGAAGTTTCTTCTCAGAAATCCTGTTAAATGGAAAGAATTCTTCCCCTTCATGCTTTAGTCATGTTCTTGTCCTATAGCTGCATGGATTTTAATTTTCAGAGCAGGTACTCATTGTCTCTTCCTCCATGTAGATCAAAGTTTTACGGAGAGTGAAGGAAGAGAATGATCGGAGAGGTGGATTTATTCGCATATTTCCTACATCAGAAACGTGGGAAATTTATGGGTGAGGTGACTACCTTTTCTTTTTCAGTCTATACTTTTAAGTCAAAACACTATCAGCCTCCCCGCCACCCCGTGAGGTGCCTTTCTGTTCTGTTTATATTACCCAACCCAAGAACTATGGGTAACATCAGGAGTGCTACCCACACCCTCCTTTTTTAAACAAGTTTAATTTGGTTCATTGTTGCCACCCCCAACCACTTTTAGTACCCTTCCCCCTTTCTAGCTCTCTACTACTGAGCTATACCCTCAGCCCATATCATGTGCTTATCATTTCCTTGATTGAAAAGTTTTTTTAATAATTCATATGTATACCTGAGCAATACGTTATTTATTATTAGTCATCACTGGGGTCTCATTACATGCAGTTAAATATATCTATTTTAAGTTACATTTTGCTTTTGTTTTTTGAGATGGGGTCTCGCTATGTATTTCAGGCTGGCCTGGAACTCACTATGTAGCCTAGCCTGGCCTGGAATTCCTGCCTCAACCTCCCAAATGCTGGGACTCCGGGTGTGCACCACCATACCCAGCTTAGGTGTACAGTTTGATGATGATTTTGACAGATATAAGCACCAGTGTAACTTTTTACCTCCATCAAATTATAGTGTATTCTGGCTCCAGGCCTTGCTGAACTGTTCTTTATTGCTGTAATTTTTCTAGAATTTCATGGAAATGGAGTCATATAGTGCATTCTCTTTCGTATATAGGGTTTTTTGTTTGTTTGCTTTTAAATCTTGGTGATTCTGGGATCAAACACAGGGCTTGGAACATGCTAGGCAATCTCTCTACTATTGGACTGTACCCTCAGCCCTGTGTTTGAATTCTTTTGTCTCTTTTGTTTGGCATAGTTTGTTTGTTTGTTTATTTGTTTTTTAAAGAAAAGGGCTTTGTTCAAACCTGGCTGACTTAGGACTTTTGAGATTTATTTGTGATGTTGCATGAAGCAGTTATTCATTCCTTAATTTGTTTATCTGTTTACCTATGTGGACCACTTGGGGTGTGTCCAGTGTTCAGCTATTGTGAAGAAAGCTACTGTGAACACATTCATTTACAATTTCCTATGTGCACTTTATGACTTCATTTCTCCTGTGTGAATAGCTAGGGGTAGAGTAGAAGGGCAGCTGATAAGCAGTAGTATTATTTTCCATTTTTACCCATGTAGGAGACCTTCAGATAGTTCTCATCCTGCCAACCCTTAGTATTGCCATCCTTTTTAAACTTTAGGCAGTTTAGTGTATCTCTGTAGTTTTAACTTGCTTTTTTCTGAGGAATAATGATACTGAGCATCTATTCATATGCTGTTAACATTTTTATCATTTTATTATTGTGGTTAAAAGACTGATGCTTTTGATACAAGTCCTTTGTTAGATATGGAGTGTTTTCCAAGTCTGTGGCTAGCTTCTTCATTTTTCTAGCAGTAGCTTTTATTAAGGTTTAGGAATGTTGTATTTTCTAAGAAATCTTTGCCATCTTCAAATCTGTAGTGCTTTTACTGTGTTTCTTCTGAAAGTTTTGTAATAGTAGCTTTTATAGCAGGCCTTTCGTTGTTCTGAACAAAATGTTTAGTGTATAAATTTCCAAAGTTCCTCTTCAGTGACATACCAGTTTTGATCATTGTGTTTTTGCTATTATTCCATGTAAAATACTCTCTCATTTCCCTGTTGATTTTCTTTTTGGCCTATGAGTTATTGAGAAGGATGTTGTTTTAGTTTTCAAATATTTGGGGTTTTCCCAGAAATATTATTGTTACTGATTTCCAGTTTATTTCTGTTGAGGTCAGAGAACATACTTGGTATAACTTGTATATTTTTAAATGTATTGAGATTTGTTTTATGGCTCAGGATACAATTCACCTTGGTAAATGTAACATGAATATTGAAAAGAATGTGTGTTCTGTTGTTGGATGGAGTGTTTCACAGATGTCCGTGGTCATGGAGACTGACAGAATGTTGTTCAGATTCTATCTTTACCAATTTTATTAACTGTTTAGAGACTAGTATTGAAATCTTCAATTATAATTGGTGAACTTTACAATCTCTTTTTGTTTTTTTCAGTTTTGCTTTTTTATGTATTTTGAAGCTCTTTGTTAGGTACAAGTGCATTACACTTGTTAGACCTTCTTGGTAAATTAATTTCCTTATTGTTAAGAAAAGTTTATCCCTGATAATATTCTTTGTTCTGAGGTCTAACTAGCTGTTGTTAATGTACAGTACTTTGGCGGTTTTTTTGACTAATGTTGGCATGGTATAATTTTTCCATGATTTGACTTTCATAAATTTTTTAATGATGGATAAAATTTTATGTATTGGTCATGTACAACATGATGTTTTGAAGTAACTATACGTTGTAGAATGGTTAAATCTTGCTTAAACCTAGCTAATAACAAATACACTACCTCACATAGTTATCATTTTTATGGTAAAAACACTTAAATATTTTTGCATTTTTTCAAGAGTAGACATATTGTCATTAACCATCTGCACCATACTGTGTAATAGAGTTCTGTAACTCATTCCTCCTGCCAACCTGTGATTAGTGATATACCCTTTGAACTGTAGCTCCCCGACCCTTCTTCCTCTGCCCACCCCACTTCTGTGATGCCAGGTTTTTCTTGCACATGTGAGTAAAATCATGTTGTATTTATCTTTCTGTACCTGCCTTATTTCACTGATCTCCGTGTTCGTCTGTGTTGCTACAGATGACATGATTTTCTTTTTTTGTGGTGGAACAGTTCTGTTTTGTACAGGGTCCAGGGTAGTTCCTGAAGCAGAGATAAGAAATCTAAATCACCCTACCTGTAAAATAAGTTTGTAGGTTCACTGAACTCCATCACAGGAAAAGAATTTTCAGGATACGTTAATAAGAGGCATAAAGGGATTTATTAGGCAGAAAGTTAAAAGTGTACACTCAAAGAAATAGAGTGCAGTCCTTCATGAGAGAAAGGAACATTACTGCCTGGACCTGGGAAAATTACACTTCTCTCAAGGAGGGGGAAACCCCAAGAAAAAGTGGTCCACCCCTCAGTAGGGTACTGCCCATCTTGTAGGTATGATCCCAGTCCTTTTTTTCTTTTTCTTTAAAATGTATAATAGATCTCTTAAACTTTAGGCATTCTTTCAATTCTCTCAACCTGTTCCTTTATCTTGGTATCAAGTTCTTGTTCTTTACTTCCTGAACTAAGCCAATTTATGGGTATAAAAGCCGTAGATGATCAGATGGGTCTGGAAGGAAAGGAGCCTAAATTTAATCAAGGGAATGCCCAATATTTATATCGTTGTGTAGCTTCCACTGTGTCCCAGAAGTTGCAGTCTTCTTAAAAGTACAATTTTTAGATAGAATTTCCTTGTCTCCTTTCTACTTAATTTTTTTCTTCTGTCCCACCTCAGTACCACATTATCCATTCATTTGTCAACACTTAGGTTGATTTGTATGCTGACTACCGTAAGTAGTGCTGCAATAAACATGGGCATAAAGACAGTTCCTCCGCACGCTGATTTCATTTCCTTTGGATTTGTACCCAGTAAGAGATTATGAAATCATATGGTAGTTCTGGTTTTAATTTTTTTGAGGGACTTCCATACTGTTTTCCGTAATTGCTTTACTAACTTACATTCCCATCAATAGTGTATAAAGGTTTTCTTTTCTGCATATCCTTTCCAGCACTTGTTATCTGTTGTCTTTTTGGTTTTGGTGCTAAGGATCAAACCCAAGGCCTCATGTACTTGAAGCATTTGCCTTGTTGCAGAGCTATCCTCCCAGCTCTAACAGGAATGAGATGATATCTCAGTGTGGTTTTAATTAACATTTCCCTGATAATTAGTGATTTTGAGAATTTTTTCTTTATCTGTTGGGCATGTGTGTCTTCTTTTGAGAAATGTCTAAGTAGGTCCTTTACTTGTTTTTAAATAGGATTTTGTTACTGTTGAATTATTTGTAACATAAAGTTTTGAGATCCTTATGTATTTCAGATATTAACTCCTTATCAGATAAATAGTTTCAGAATATTCTCTCTGATTCTGTAGGTTGTCTCTATTGTTTCTTTGCTGTGCAGAAGCTTATAAGTTTATTGTAATTCCACTTGTTTATTGTTCCCACTGATTTTGAAATCATGCCCCAAAGAAATCACTGCCCAGAACAATGTCATGAAGCTTTTTCCTATGTGTTTTTCTCTAGTAATGTCACAGTTTGAGGTCCTACATTTAAGTCTTTTTTTCTTTTTAACTTAATGAAAAAATTTTTAAAGTTGTACATTTAAGTCTTTCGTTCATTTTGAGTTGAGTTTTGTGTGCTTGTTTTGTTTTTAAGTTTCTTGAGACAAAGTCTCATTCATGATCCCCCTGCCTCAGTTTTTCAGGTGCTGGGATTACAGGTACGTATGTGTCTGACCCTTGAGTTGATTTTTTTAAATAGGTGAGAGATAAAGATCTAATTTCATTCTCCTGCATATTGATATCTGCTTATGTAGCACCAGTTGTTGAAGTGACTGTCCGTTCCTCATTGTGTGTTTTGGGCACCTTAGTTGAAACTCAGCTGCAAATGTGTGGATTTATTTGGCTATTTTGTTCTCTCCATCTTGTTTTAGTATGGCAGTACCATGCCCTTTTGATTGCTGTAATTTTGTGGTGTATTTTGAAGTCAAATAGTATGTTATGGTTTGTGTCTAGATGTCCCCTTGCAAAAAGCCTCATGCAGTCATGGAGTGGGCTTCCAGAGTTTATGACTGACTCATGGTCCAATGCTGGGATTATGGGTGTGAGTGCTACACCCACCCTGGTAGCTTGCATACAATATAAGGGAAGGAAAGAGGCTTGCTCTTTCCTGCTCCTCCCTTGTCCTCTTGCTGCTTTTGCTGTTTTCTGCTACCATGAACTGTTGCCCTCTGCCTTGTGCCACTCTGCCTTGGAGCCAGCCGAGTATGGACTGGAGCTAAATAAATCTTTCCTTCCTTAATTCTGAGCATCAAGTATTCTGTTCCAGCAACGAGAGAAAAGTAACCAAGAC